GGAAGTTTTTGGAGTGAACTTGATTGTGGAAGTGGTTATTCAATTGAGCATGTTTGTCAAAACTCAGACTGAAAATGGAGAACGTTAATGTCTGTATACCATACCTGAAGAAATAGGACTTTGAAAATGGTTCACAAAACAGTTATCATACTGCCAGTATTATTTCAGTAACAGGAGCCAAAGAAAATTATTATTCCATGAGTGTCTTTAAACTTTGTGCTGACCCAGAATGAGATACTGTAATTACTATTCATTAATTTACAATTTACTTAATTAAACTTTTATTGTTGTTACGGCTTATATCTAGATGTCACCTGAAAGCCTTATGTGCTCATAAGTGGGGATTTGGGGAGTGACTGGATCATGGGTGTGTGATACTAGTTTAGTCCACCAATGGTTTAGCACAGTCTTGGGTGTGGATAATGGATTTACTAAAGGGGGAAGCCCCACCCTGGGTGTGGGTGACACCAACCAATAGGCTTATAGTCTGCATGGAATAAAAAGGGAAAGAAGAAGGAAGGCCCTGCTTCTTCTTGTCTGGCATACCATGGACTGTTTCTCCTCTGCCATGCCCCTCTGCCATGCCACCCTGCCTTAGAGCCAGATGACAGTGGATTGAAACCTGGACAAACTGTGAGCTGAAATAAACCTGTTCTCCTTTAACTTGTGAATGTCAGGTATTTTGTCCCAGCAACAAGAAAGTAACTAAGATAATTGTGCTTTCCAAATGCTCGAGGGTTGAGAGAAGACAAAGGTCCAGTTCCCATCCATGGGAAACTCACAGTCCAGTAAGAGGAAGTAAGAAAATGACAGAGACAGTGTACATGATCATTACCTTTGATAATAAAGCATGGGCACCGTCATCAGAGATTAACGATGGAGCTATATTCTAAGAAAAGTGGCATTAGTGATTTTGTCCTTGTGTAAACATCACTGTACTTACCTGAACCTAGATGGTCTGGGTCAAACACTTGAAATGGCCCTTTGATCCCATCAAGAGACATGGTAAGCATGAGCTGTATGAGGCTGGAGGAATATGGCAGACTGCATTACAGAAAACTTTTCTTAGTAAGTAAAAAGAGTACATTCTAAACAGTAGAGTGTAGTAAATTTAAACAGAGTATAAATATATAAACTAGTGCCATACTCATTTATTATCAAGTATTATGTACATTGCATAATTATTTGTGTTATACTGTTATACAGCTGGAGGAGGAGTAGGTTTTCTGACACCAGCATGTTTACACGAGGATCACCACAAACATGTGAGTAATGCGTTGTGCTCTGACATTGCAGTGGCTACGGCGTCACTAGGTGATAGGAATTTTTCAGACCATTATAATCGTATGGGACCAGCATCACATGCATGGCCTGCTGTTGACAGAAAACTTGCTATGCAGTGCTGCACACATTTAGACTCTTCATACATTCATAACTAAAAGTTCGAGCCCAGCGCTGTGAATAATACCCTACCCACTGGTACTTAGTAGCAGGAGCATGAGAGTAATATAAGCAAGCATTTGCTGGCCAGGTGCTGTTCTCAACATGTGTCAAAGTCTCGGCAACCCCATGAGCTAGGCAGTGTCACATCATCATCCTTTATAGGTCAGGCAATAAACTCACAGAAAAGCTGGTTTGTTTGCTCGCTCAGTGTCATATGACTAATAAAGAACAGAAAAGGGATTTAGCCTGGCAGGATAGCCACCTCCCAACCTCAGTAGTATACTAAACCTGGAGAGAAATGCTCACCACTACCCTCCATACAGAAACTGAATTACAGAACTCAGGCTCAGTCTCCTCAACATCAAAGAGCGAGAGTGAGCCATAGGCAGAGAGGTTTAGAATTCAAAACTCTCTCCCTAAGGCAGATGAAATTTCTCCTTTTGTGTATACCATTTATCTATCTCCAATTGCTAAAATAAGAACTATTACAGAAAACGAAAGTGAAAATAGGGATAAGTGAAAATTCCTAAATAAAAATTTAAAAATGTATCCATATTCTCATGATACAGAAGTAAACACTGCTAACATTTTGGCATATTATCTTCTAGTCTTAAAAAATATCTTTTGTTGAGCTCATACTTAAATGTAATTTTGGATCCTTCTTTTTCACTTAAATCAGAGCATAAACTCTCATCATTTTAAGTGGTTGCATAATAATCTATCATAGGGATATTATATGATTTCTGAACTGTTCTTTCACAGTTGGGTATTTAGGTTGTTTCCAATATTTTCACTATTATAAATAACCCACTATGAACATTCTAGTCCATAAATCTGTATGTGAACTACTGTGTATTATTTTAGGATGGTTTCCCAGAAGTGTAATTAGTAGGTTGAATGTCATGAATATTTTAAAGATTATGTAGAGAAGTAGAATTCTTTATAAATAGAGCACACATTCTTTACAAATAAATGGAAGGGTTTCCCGGGGGCTCAAAAGTTGTATATGTACTTGCTCCCGCATATGGGGGTGAAACAGGAGTGGATGTGAGAGGCAGAACTGGGATCTTTCTAACTTCTTGCTTTTGCATTAACCACTGCACTTTTCCTCTTAGGAGCTGCCTCCCAATTTTTAGGGATACTTGCTGATTAAATATGGATCAACAGGATGCCAGCAGATGGAATTTTCATGGGTGACATTCGTATGTCTTCTGTAAGACTTTCTCACAGAATCATGTATGCCACCTCAGCATGTCTAACATGGCGCAGAACTGTCATTATCTGTCACTATCTCAGCTCCTGAGTGAGATGGATTGGGGACAATCATTTCCATTCCCATATCATTAATCAAAAATTCAGAAGGGTGAAGAGTCTTAACCAGGAAGAGCTTGGAGAGGTCATTGGAACCAGTATTCTGGGACTGCAGCTTCTAGTTATGCACTCCATTTGTCTCTTGTTCCAAATACTTGTGCTGAGACTTTAACTCCCAATGTGATTACATTTTAAGATAGAATTCCTAAAGGGGTCATAAAGGTTAAATGAATTCACAAGGGTGGGGTCCTATTCTGCTAAAACTGGTGTTCTTATAAGAAATGAGAGAAACACCAAAGCCATGTCCTCCCTCGACACATACACTTGGAGTCACATGGAGATGCAACCCTGAGAGAAGGTGGCTACCTATAGCCCAGAGAGTCCTCACCAGAAACCAGCCCTGAGGGCATCTCGATCTTGGACTCCTAGCCTTTACAACTGTGAGAAAAGCCTGGTGTGCTGATGCACTCCTGTAATCCCAGCACCTGGGAGACCAAGGCAGGAGGATGATGAGTTTCAGGTGAGACTGTGTTACATAGCAAGTTTGAGGTCACTCTGAATTACATATTGAGACCCTGCCTCAAAAAAACACAAAACAAAAAACGGGAGAAAATAAATTTCTGTTGCCTTAAGCCAGCCGACCCGTGATATTTGTTATGGCATCCTTAGCAGATGATTACAAATTTTGGTACTGATAAGTAGGGTGCTCCTGTAACAGTTTGGAAGTGAATTGGAACTAGTGGAGTTTCTGTAGTCTTGGAGAACGCATATATCATCATGACCATAATGTTTGTAGAAATGTAACTATTAAATGTGATTTTAGTGAGGGCTCAGGTAACTGAGGAACATGTTATTGGAAATAGAGGAAAGGTAATTCTTGTTATAAAGTAGAAAAGGATGTGCCTGAATTGTGTTCTAGTATTTTGTGAAAAGTAGAAATCACCATGTGACAAATTTGCATATGTATTTATCCATGGAGATTCCTAAGCAAATGGTTGAAGGTATGTCTGAGTTTCTCCTTCTTGCTTAGGTACAATGTGAGGAGAGAGATACACTGAAGGAATTGCTAAGCACGAAGAGACCAGGTCTTGGAGATTTGGGGAAAATTTAGTCTATTCATATTATTAAAAACAGAGAAAGCATTGTGAAGAGAACACCAAGAGCATTCTGTGAGATTGCCACTGAGTCAGTCAGGTGTGGAGAACAGATTGTATGAGACACAGCTGTCTCGGCTAACATAGTCAGGATACAGCAGAGGGGGACTTTCAGAATTCTGGAGTTCTACAGGACAGGACCAGAGAGCTAGAAACCTGTGAACATTTTTTTATCTTTCAAGAAAAGGGAAAGTGAGCCTGAGGCATTTCAAAGACATCAGGGCACAGGTCAGAGGGTGCAAAGCCTCTTCAGAAGGTGGGGTCCTCTCCTCTTTCTGTCCAGTGCCTCAGGAGTTCAGTTGTAGCAAAGAGCTGTGAGGGCGAGGCCACTGCTCGAGCCATGGATGACACTGCTGTGCCAGTGGACTTGGAACGCAGACCATCCAGCTAAGGAGGCTTATTTTGGAGCGTTAGGAAACAATGGACTTTGCTTTGCTAGGTTTTGGACTTCCTGGAACGATCTCCCATTCTTCTTTCTCATTTCTCCCCTTTGGAAGAGTGGGATGTCCCACCATGGCAGTCTTGTGGGGTTTCACAGGTGGAGGGGAATTTTGCCTCAGGACGATGCATACCATATCCACACCTGGTTTAGCTGATATTTAGATGAGACTCGGGACTAGGAATAGATGCTGGAGGGAGTTGTGAGGCTCTTGTGATGAGGTGATTATAATTTGCACGTGAGAAGGACATGAATGGGGGGCAGAGGGTGGAATGTCATGGACTAAATTGTGTCTCCCCAGATTCATGTATTGAAACCCTAGCCCCCAAGGTGACTGTGTTTATAGATGGAGTCCAGGAGGATGTAATACAGGTTAAATGAGTTCATCAGATAAGGGATGCACACAGAGAGAAGGCCACATGAGGACACGGTGAGGGACAGGCATCCACAGGAAGACAGGTCTCAAGGGAACCCACCCTAGCGGCACCTGGATGTTGAACGCTGGCTTCCAGAACTGTGCTACAATGAATTGCTCTTTAAGCTACAGCTTGTGGTATTTTGTTACGGCAGCTGAAGGAGGCATCAGAATTTTCTTATTCTAAAGATAATAGTCTTTATTACTCAGTAAGTGATAGTCTTTATTACTTCCGGGTCTCACTGACCATTTCCATCCCAACCCCTAAAACCCTCACTATCCTGGGAATTCTGGTTTTCCACCCACACAGCCCATGGGCTTTCACCCCGTCAGTGCAGTTTGTCCGGGCTGTTTCTTCCGCCTGGTGTTCCATCTCTGCTCCTCCAAGCTCAGATGTTCTCTCCTCTGGGATTCCGGATCTTTTCTAGTCCTTCCTCTCAGACAGAAGGAATGGCTCCGGGATTTGTGCCCTGCTTTAAAAAAAAACCACAAAACACAGCTCCATATAGCACTTAGTTCTTTGTGACCGGGGGGTTGGGTTAACTCTTTCGTGCCTGCCTGCAAGAGTGCTGGCCCCTGGGGGTGGCATGGGTGAGTGGCCCGTCACCCAGGACAACTAGCACAGCGCTGCACGGAGTACCCCGGCCCCTGTGCAGCGAGGGGTCTGGTTTAACCCCTAGAGCCCCGGCCCTCTCTAGGTGGCGTCCCCCGTGACTCCTTCCTCTTCCCGACGCTCGGGGTCCCCTTCCCGCCAGGTCCCGACCACCCGAGCCGGCCGGCCTGCGGGGGTTCGCGGGCTCCTCCTCCGGCCTGAGCCCCAGCCCCCTCCCCTGCTCCAACCCCAGGCCCAGCCCCGCGGCTGGGCGGGGCGTCTCGGCATTGGGCGGGGAGCCGAGGCCCCGGGCTCTTAGGCCGGCCGCGGCTTGCAGATGCTCGACCCCCGCGGTCGGGCCGGGGCGGACATGGCAGAGGGCGTGTGAGCCGAAGAGCGAGGGGAGCCACGATGCCCGGGGGCGCCGGCGCCGCCCGGCTGTGCTTGCTGGCCCTCGCCCTGCAGCCCCTGCGGCCGCTGGCGGTGCGGGAACCCGGGTGGACGACAAGTAAGTGCCGGGCGCGAGGGGCCGAGGCGGGTGGGCGGGGTGGGCGGGGTGGCCTGGGACCGGAGCGGGGCCCCGCGCCCGCTGCTTCTGCCCGAGGCCGCCCCAGCCCTGCAGCCCGGGCTTTGTTCCCACGGCGCGCGTCCCGGACGCGGTGGAGATCGGGGACCGGGGCGCGCCGCGCAGCCCGTCCCCTCTTCCTCCTTCCTCTACGTTCCGCTCCTTTCTGCGCCGCTCCTGTTTCTCACGGTCACTCCTCTCCGCTCCGCCTCGCCTCGCCTCGCCCGTCCTCTCCGGCGTCCGCTGCACCAGCGCCAGGAGCATCCCGAGCGCCCGGGGAGCGGCTCCCCGGGACCGCGCTCCGTGTCGCGCGCCAGCTGCCCCCAGGAGACGCCGCGAGAGGCGGCAGGGGGTTCAGTGGCAACTCTGGTTCTACACTTCGGACCCCCGAGCTGGCCGGGACCCTCTGAATGAAGATCAAGTCCGACGCATCCATTGCACTGTTGGGAAACCCAAGCCCACAAAAGAGAAGGGGTTTGCCCACAGCCACGCCACAAAGGGAAGTCCGCGCTTTCGCACTGGAAGCCGAGGCTCTTTCCCCTCCACCGACACCTGCCCTCTCTCAGCCTCAGTTCCCCCTTCTGTGCAGCAAAGGGACGGGCTGGATGCTTCCAGCTTGGATGCTGGGTGATGTCTCTAGACTGGTCTCCCGCACCCCACCGCCTCTAGAGCCCATCCCTCGGGGCTGCTGCGGATTCCGCCTTAGGGACGGTCCAGGGGCGGTGCCCAGGCTCTGTCATTGTCACCCCAGAAAGCGTGGCCTTAGCTTGGCCGGCCGCAGACAGGCCAGGCTGACTTCAGACTTCTGCTTGCCGGGACCAGCAGTGGACTTGGTTTTAAAAACAAGCGAGCACGGTGGGGTGGAGGCTGGGCAGGCTACCCCGGGCCCAGGGCGAGGAGGCTGACCTGCGGACAGTGTGTGTGAGCTTCAGGGCGATTCCCAGGACCTCCTGAGCGAAAGGGAAACCGAGGCACGGTTGGTCCACAGGGAGCCCGGGGAAGGAAGCTTTTCTTCCGTGGCCTTTGGCTCCTTGAGAAAGAGGAAGTCAGGTTCTATTTATTTCTGATTTTCCAAAATCTGGCAGGAGTCCTGAGTTAGTCTTGTGTAGGAGAAAAGCATGAAGAAAAGCTAGGAAAGTGAGTTACTGCTCCAAGAGATGACTTCTGAGCCCTCAGGTAGAGCAGCTGCAGAATATCCGGGGAGTAATGAAAAGTGGAAAAGGAGTAAAATTGCCAGTAATCCCCAAGTCCACGATTGCTATGAATACTTTGTCTTTTTTCCTCTCTTGTCTTCTTGTGTTTCTATAAATATGTGTTAATGAAATTGGAAACATACCATAGGTATAGTTTGGTATCTTGCATTTTGTACTTCACATGGTAAGCATTTCCTCAATCATTACATTCTCTAAAACCATGATTTTAACAGCTCTTTAATTCCATCAAGGGACTAGGATATTCAAAAGTTAAAAAGTCATACAAATGTGGCGAAGATTCACTTGCTTCATGAATGCAATCAGGATGCTAAAGCTGGTTGAAAGGAGGGTTCAAGGGTGGTACAGGCATTGGAGAAAGACTTGAAATCTTGTGGCTAGATCAGATAAAGAAGAGGTGGGTGGGGCAAATGTTATTCTTTGTTATCTTTTTACTACACTGAAATAAATTTTCATCTCTGTCTACCAGAAATCTATAGTTAATATATGACTACACAGAGAATAGGCTTTTGGTCAATAGTAAATAAAGAGGCAAAGGTACATTCCTCCAGATAAGTCAATAATCCATGGTCAGTCTGTTCAACAGTACTCCAGATATGAGACTGAAAAGACATTTTACTTGTCCTTTGCTTGTTTCCAAGTTTTGAACATTTCTTCTTAAATGTACTGTGCTCCTCTACTGTTGAGACTTTAGATTACTTTTTGGTGTTTTTTTTTGATCATCCCATTTAACTTCTTTAAACATCCCATTAAATATTATATAATCCCTTTTTGTCTAAAATAATCCAGACTTATCAGAGCCACGAGGACAGGGACTATGCCTGTCTTGTTCCCCCATGGGTATTAAGCACCTACTGTAGTACTTGGCATATAAAAAAAACATGGAAAACATTTGGTAAATAAATAAATGCATTGCTTTTGGTTTTTACCAACTTCGAATGTTAGTCTAATGAGGTTGGTTTTTTTAGGATATATTTTGATTGCAAATAGCTATATCAGTAATCTAAAAGGAAAGTTAATAATCAATCATAATCATAGCACTCTGACTGAATAACTCCAGTCATCTTTTATATCATGCATTGCATTCTATGTGATTGATGTGGTTGCTTTAGAAAGAACAGAATTTGGACTCCTCAGATCCAACTCCAGAAGTCCTTTGGATTTGCCCTATTCTTGTGGAGACTGATTTGCTTTGGTCTTAGGAAATTCTCCCTTTATTAAGATAGTCTGCAGCCAGTGATTGAAGTCTGTACCACCTTGAACAAGTTTCTTCTGTAGTTTTAATTCCCTTTCTTGTAAAATAGAAATGCTACTACCTACTTCTCCAGTTGTTTGCAAGAATGCAGGAGATCTGGATGGTGAGAATGGTTTGGAGAGTAGAAGGGCAACACAAATGCACACTTGCCATTAGGAGCCTCATGGTAATGTAACAATGCCTTGCAGTTAGGAAGCAATTTCATATTTCTCTCCAGTAACATTTTGAGATGGCAGGTGGGAGGCTAAAGCTCATGGGGAACAATAGCCATGGGCTGAACCTCCAGAGTATACCCAGAATTCTACCACTTCATTCCTTCCAGCTGATGTCATTCTAGTCTGAGCCACTGTGTATCTCATCAGGGCTCCTGCAAGTTTGCAGCCTGGTCTTCCTGCTTCTGCACTCAAGTCTCTCCACCCTCCCCCATTCTCCACTCAACCTAATACAGATCATGTTACTCTGCGTTTAGACATCCAATGGCTTCCAGGTCTATTTATAATAAAATCCAGACACTTTCCATGGCCTCTGCATTATCAGACCCAGAGCTGTCTTGCTGACTACATTTCTTACCAACTTGCTCTCTCACTTACTTGACTCTAGCTAGCCCTGCCTTCTGCTTCTTCATTAGGCCAAGGCCACTTCTGCTCAGCCTTGCCCTTGCCAGTCCCTCCATCTGGTGTACTCTTCCCCTAGATCTCTGCCTGGTAGTGCCTTCTGCAGGACCCTTAGTTCTCAATCATGTGTCATCTTTGCTGATCACCTTGTCTCAAATAGGCACCCTCTGCTATTTACCATGGTCCTCTTATTTTTTTCAGGGTATTTAGCACCACCTGAGAATGCGTGTTGATTTTCTGTCTCTCACCTCTAGAAGGTAAACTTGGCAGGTATAGAGGCCTTGTTTGTCCTCTATCACTAACACCTGCAAGAATGTGTGCAAGTGGCCCATAGCGAATGCCAAGCGCCTGGAAACAAGCAGGTGTTGGCATGAGCCCATGGGTAGTTCTTGCCATGTGGCAGTGGTTGTTCCAGAAAGTGCATGTATAGCTTGACTGGGATGTGAAAGTCTGGGATTTCCATGGTGTATGTTTTATATTGGCAGCAGGAAGTGAAGAAGGCAGCCCCTGGCCACAGCATGAACTCGTAATACCTCAGTGGAAGACTTCACAAAGCCCCGTGAGAGAAAAGGTAAGACTCAAGCTCTCTTTTTCAAAGACCAGGGTTGGGAACTTGGGTCTGTGAGGCTTGGGGGCCTTTTATGGCTTTTCCAGAGGCCTGGTTATCACCAGTAGTTCTGTTTCTGGCTTGCTCTGTCCTCTTTGTGTGTCGGTTTTGGATACCTCAGATGGGGCTTTCCCTCAGTGTATGACGAACATCTAGAACATTTCCAAATGCTATTGGTTGAGGAAATGAAAATGCAGATTAATGCCGACACAAACTAATGACAAATGTGGTGTCACAAAAAATCACTTTTGATTGGAATTTATTATGTATTGTCATTGCTATTCTTGCTGTACACAATACATGCTTTATTTTATGGATAGGATAATGTACTTGGAGAGAAAAGGGATAATTTAAACTATTTTTAATGTATCTTAAAATCCTGCAGGCTCCTTGGGCCAGAACACCAGCAGACTGCAAGGACTTTAAGAAGGAACAAAACTGAAAATATTGTGCTGTTCTTGTAGTAAGGAACTGTGTGTGACTAGGATATTCTCTCTAGTTCTTGTTTTCACTGCTTCAGTGAGGCTAGAAGAGGAGATGTGATTGTTGGCATGCTATGTGATCTTCCACTTTCTAAATAACTTGAGTTTCTTATTCATTTATAAAATAGGCCTTAGAGGGAATAGGGTTGAAGAGGGCTGGGCAGAGGGGCTGGTTTCAGAAATCTCTTGGGGTTCAAATGGCCTGTGGTTTGTTGGATAACATATAGGAGCAAGATGACAGCAGGAGATAGTCAAGAAAGACTTCAAGCAGTGTGACTGTTGAGTCCGGAGAGGAGAAATGCCCAGAATTCTTTAAGATAAGAGTAATACTCTTAATGCTCCCCTGATGCTCCAACTTGGATTTGGTAAGGGAACCTACAGAGAAAATTGCAGGGCAAGGAAAGAAAGGAAGATTTTCATGTGAAGTCAATAAATGTATAGAACTCCTTTTATCGAGGAAAGGCTGAAAATAGCTTCAGGAAAAGTCTAGACAAATTAATAGGTGGCCATCCTAGAGCAGATAAGTTTTAAAAATTCAGATCTTGCATATTTGAACCCACCATTCTTGCCTGAGGAATGGATCTGATACTTTTTATAGAGGCGCCTTTGTTCCCTCCAGATGTGGGATGCCTAGCATCCTCAGGAAGGGCCTGAGAAACAAAGTAGAGGACTGGATCCTGTCTTTGTTCCCAACATTTGACTACTCAGAGCATGGGTCTTTGTATTCTGTAGGAATAGTCAGCACAGTGCCTGGCACCATAAATATTTGCCGAGAGAGAGAGAGAGAGAGAGAGAGAGAGAGAGAGAGAGAGACACTGACTCAAAACGGGAATTCCCTTAGGTTTCTAGTCTCATTTATGTAAATAGTTCATTTACTAAATATGAATTAAACACAGTACACTAAATGTTAGACTTTAAGAGTATGCAAAGATACAGGACAGATTTCCAATAACCTATGGAACTATCTATTTAATCTAGCCCTAATGAGGAGGGACTTTTCACTCTTCCCAGGGGATGTATGAACAGTGGGTTACCCCTTCCTAGGGCAGAGTTGGAGTTATAAGAGAAAGCTGTTAAGTAGAACTGGGGAAGGAAGCTTCATAGACATAAAATGCAGTTTAATTTTTTTTACTTGTGATGTTTCCTGGAATCAAGGAATGTCTTACTTTAAATATTAGTGTCTGACCATCTTCCAGAACAGGGAGAATTATCTTTGGATTGCTCACGTAAAAAGTAATATTAGTATTCATGTTAGAACTTGTGTCCCTTTGCAGGAGTGATGACAATGCCTTGATATATGGGCTGTCACATGGCTGCTTACCTCTTAGATAAGGGAATCGCTACAGCTCTCCTGCTGTGCTCTTTCTCAGAGGGCCTCTTGGGGGTGGGTCCCAGATACTCAGTGTGACTAGGCAAGGTATTTGCTTCAGAACTTCCCAGAATAAAGTGGCAGAGGACACTCGATTAGAATAGGTGTTGGCAGAGCTAAATCAGGGCATCAGACACGAAATCTCCTAGTGCATCTCTGAGTGAAAGTAGCTGGGCAAATATCTCACCCAGCTTCATGCTACCAAGCCTTTGAAATGTTCCTTCTTAAGACTGGGAAATAGGGCCAGTTAGGGAATGGGCAGGGTCGCCCAAGAGTTCTTGGTTGGAATGCTCAGATCTCATCAGTGCCCTTGGTTGCCTGGAAGTCTCAGAGAAGCCCGGGCCCTGATGAGTGAGGTTGGCAGCAAGTAAGCAGGGAATGTGGATAGAAAAGGCAGCCCTGGGGCGGGGGATTTAGCTCAGTGGTTTCGCCACCTGCTGTGAAAGCGGGAGGACCTGAGTTCAATCCCCGGTACCAAAAAAAAAAAAAAAAGGCAGCCCTGGCCAGAAGAGGCTAAGCAGATGACCTCCCTTCCTGGACAGGCCAGAACTAACTACCGATAAGCTTTGAACTTAAAAAGAGGAGGAGCTCCATCCTAGCAAGGACTTCTATGGATTGAAAGGATTTTAAGAATTTATTGGTTCCTTGGTTCCCAGTTAGAGAACTCATATTTAAAACACAACAAAGAATCTATCCTGTTTTAAACTTGTAAATGTTCTAAGATGAATAATTTCTTCTTTCAAAAGGAGTTCAACAGCCTTAACTTGAATTATCAAAGTGTGTGGACTTGCTATGAAATTTAAATTTATTTGAAAATTTAAATTTATTTGAAAATTTCCACGATAATAAGGTCAAAAGAGATAAGTCCTTTTCATAAATGATAAAAAATTATAAAAATATAGAAAGATGTGCAAAAGAAAATAAAATTAATTTATGTTTCTACTATGTAGAGTATGCAACCTTGAGGTTTATTTCTCTGTAAATTTTTTCCTTTAAATAAAAAATACAGTGTTATATTTTGAGCCTTTATTATCTAATGTTTATTATGTCTACTTTCTCAATCATTTAAAAATTAAAGTGACTGTCTTTAATGACTCTCTAGTAGTCTGTTATATAAATGGATCACGGTTTAATTATTCTTTTATTTTTGGATATTTAGGTTTTATTTTATTCATAATTCGTTCATTCATATTATAAGTAACTCATTCATATTATATTCATATTCATATAATAAGTAATAGCTTCTGTGTACAGATCTTTGCCTGTGCTTCTGTTTGTTCACTTCAGACAGTCTTAAATCAAATGGTCTGAACATTTAAAAACTCTTATTCTATATAGTCAAAATTATCTTTCAGAGAATGGATTTCAATTTAAATTCTCAGTGGTAGGGGATGAGGGTGCCCATTTTACAGCGTGCTCCATTGCATTATGACTTATGGTTTTAAATCATTGATTGTGTTTAAGATATCTTTTTGTGTGGTTGTTTCTTGGAAGGTGAGGTATGTAGTTACCTGTGGTGTTGAATATGTTTTTCATGCTCATTGGCCATTTGTATATCTTAAATGTTCTACTGTGGTGGGGGGAGTAGCACCTGTGGCCACTAGCAAACTGCTCATATGTAAAATATAGCTACTCTTGGGTTTCTGAAACCTCAATTTGAGGTGCTTTTTTGTTGCCACCTCTGGGCTGATTGAGGTTTCCGAGTTGAAGGCCCAATTAAAATAAGATCCTCTTATCAAGAGAATCCACCAACATGCTGAGGATGTGGGGAGCCATAGTGCTGCATTATTTACATCATTATCTCCCTTAGTTTTTGCAAAGTCCTCATAAGGTTGATTATTATTATCTTTATAACATAAAAGAGGAAACGGGGATGTAGTAAGGGTTGGTATCACATCCAAGTTCACAACCTGCAGGTATCAGACCTAGCCCTTGAACCCAGGTCTGACGCCCAGGAAATTTACTTTTGGAAATCATATTTTCCTGTTTCCCTTTTCCAGCCCACAGTTCTGCACTTCTACCATGTCTCAGCCTAGAATTCCTTTCCTTTGCTTCTCAGGAGAAAGCAGATGGGGAAAGATTTGGGTCATTCTGGGGCTGAGGTCATTTCATGTCTGGGCTGGAAAGGCAATTGACCTTTTCTTGCTTACTTCCTGTGGGCCCCTGTACAAGTACCTTGCTAGATCCCATGCCCAGGGAGCCTTGGTCCCTACTTTTAGGAACTGACATTCTTTTCTGTTGCTTTTAGCATCCCATCAAAGCTGAGCTCAGGGTAATGGCTGAGGGGCGAGAACTGATCCTGGACCTGGAGAAAAATGAGTAAGTGGATCCCTTCTTTGCCGAAAACAATTAACTTCTATGTCAGTGCTGGACACAGGCAGGTGTCACTGTTTGGGAAGGAAGCATTTAGTGGAGTAATTCCAAGCTCTCAACCTTGGTCCCTTTGAGGGAGTATCCTGCAAAGAGGGAATTTTTCTAGTCTCTTATTTGCCGTGAAGTTATTGGACTGCTTAATGTCTTGCTCAGATTTCCTTAGGCTGCATTTCTGGTGCCTCTTTGAGTTCACAGCAGCACACGGATGTGTGTATGTGTGCAGTTAGGGAGGGAAGAGCCTAGAAGCAGCTGCATTACTACTCGAGCCCAGCGTAGGGCAGGAAGTGATTAGAGGAAAACAGCAGAGAGGAGAGAGGCAAACACTGTACTGAGATTTGGCACCTCAGGTCCTAATTGCTACATCTGTCCAGGGTCTGGAAAATCCAAGATTTTGCCAATAAGGGCATTGTTAGCAGTCTCCTGGCTTCACTGGGCCCAGGTCCTCCGTCTCCTTAACCTCACACATCTCGGGCAGTGGTCTGGCTCACAGACACCTCCACAGGTACCTGCTGGGTGGAGTTGCGCCTTGATTCATGTCACTGAGGGGACAAGTAGACACAGTTCAGGGCTTTCTGTTGCTCATTCTCCAGCCATTCCTGGCCGCCGGGCTGATAAGGAGCTCTTTTTGCTTGGCCGAGGGACTCTATCAATAGTCCCACTTTGGTCTCCCACATAGATGTCGCGGATGAGGATGCATGGCTTGGAGAGCTGCCCATCTCTCTTGGCAGCCTCTAAAACCCCCTGGAAGCCGAGGAGTAATCAGATTCGTCACTGCCAAGAAAGGGATGGAGCAGGGCCTTCCCACATCCAGAGGGCTGGGAATGGCTGCCTGGCTTGGGTGGAAAGGGAGACAACGATTTATTCCAAATTTGGGCTCTTTGCACACTTGCAAAGGAGGCTGAGTGGCATCCCCAGTGTAGTTAAAGTGCAGTCCAGGAGCTGGTCCAGGCGGGGGTCTTTGTTCACATCTTTCCTCCTCTGCTGGTACTGTATATGGTGGCCTTCAGAAGCCAGAAAGATGGGCACTGCTGTCATTTTGCTACTCTCCTCCAGGACGAAACCAGCCTTGTCCTGGTTTACTGAAATCTTTCTTTCCGTTTACCTAGAACCAACCTGGCTGGCCATGTCCATGGCTGTCCAGGGGCTTCAGGCCCTCCTTGGACTGGCTTTTCCTTTGGGTTACCTTCCTGTAGTGCCTTAGGAGGTCCGTTCTTGACAGCCTCTCTCAGGGGCCTGCTTTGGAATCTAAGCTTTGAATTCTGGTCTAAATATGCCCTGTTGTCACTCTGTGTCTAATTTGAACTACTCTGCCTTGAATGGAGCTTCTGGCCTTTCAGCCTCTTCTAGTCAGCCCAAGTGATGGTGGTGTTTTATTATGGAAAGCCTTGGGAAATTGATCTCAGGACTCAAGTCCCTGTCCTTCCATCCTGGTTTGGAGCGTTTACAAGAGCTCATAGGATGTTAGAGTAGGAAGATGCCTTAGAAAGCACTAATGCAATGGTCTCATGCACAGATACGGAAACTGACTCAGAGAGGGATAGGCATTTATATAAGGTCACACAGCAAGAAAACAAGAGAGATGAGACTAGGATCATTTGTATTCTTGCTTAGGTCTAGAGTTACAGAGTAGTTGTGAGGCCTGAATGAACAGGCTTACAGAGCACAAGGTGAATGGTCAACTATGGTGATTTTTATTGCCCTACACCCCATGGATGCTGCAAGAAGAGCTCTCTTGTTTGACAGGGAGCCACATGGGGCTGGATGTGGTTCTTGGCCTCCTTGAGTCAGCAGAAGGCAGGAGACCAGACAAAAGTGGAAGCAACAGAGCCAAGGAATACGATCTCACCAGGTGTCCTTGGGGGGCAGCTTCCTGCTATTTTCATCCAAGTTGGACTTTTTGTTTTTGAACAAGTGTTAGTGGGCGGAACTCTAACTGCACACAACTTCCTAGTATGTTTCTTTCCCAAAGGCCTTTCATTCATGCTGCCTGTGACCTCAGGTCAAAAAGCAGCTTTGGAGTGGGGCTATGCTTTTCTGATCTTTCAAATCGTTATACTAAAGTTTCTGTAAGCCGGTGATATCTGGGGAAGGGGGCCCTAGACCCTGTACTGAATGATTTCTCAGGCTCTGGTTCTTAACCTCCTCAGTGGATTCATAAATACATTTCATCTCCAGTGCATCTATATCGTGCCAGCACCAGTGTAGGTATTTGGAGTAAGGTTGTGAGTTAAACAGCTCTGCCTTTAGGGATCTTACATTCTAGTAAGCAAACAAGTCAGATGACAAGTGCAGAGAAGACACACTGGGCTCAGGGAGAGCAGGAGATGGGGAGGAAGCTGTGGTGGGTGAGTGATGCTCAGGGAAGCCTTGCTGGTTTGATATTTGTGTTGAGACCTGAAGGAGTAAACCATGTGGACAGCTGAGAGGGACCATACCAAGAGGAGGGAACAGCCAAGTTCAAAGGCCCATATATTAGGAAGATGTCTATGCCTTTCCACCCCTACTCCCTGTTTCTCCATACCATGGGTTCTCAGGTCTCCCAGAAGCAATGGGCATGAAGGGGAGGGAGGAAATATTTTAATTTTTTTCATCATCCTGAGGTGGCTGGCCTTGTCCTATCAAATCAAAGCCCATGTGCTAATGCATGGCCCAAAATAGCAGTGAGCAAGCCTTTAATGGAATTCACACATGGAGGCATCATTGCCAAGAATGGTGAGGATGGAGGAGCGGGGGCACAGGCCAGGAAAGGAGGTGTGGCCAAGGAACCTCAGTGCAGGCTGCAGACAAGCCCTGATTCAGCAACACAGCAGCCAGTGGCTGCTTTGAAGCAGCTCAGGACAAACAGCTGGCATCACCATGAGAGATGCACTCCCTTTTCACTGTTGAGTGCCACTGAGAAAGAAATGACTTCTTAGGGTTCATCTGAGTATGTCTTTGTTTCTGACAGGCCCACATTCGGACTCACTCTGTCCTCTGAAAGCCTCAGTTTCCTCACCTTGGGTACAGTCAGAGTCCCATGTCACAGAGCCAGGGAGAGGATGAGATCAGATGGTGCATGCAAAGGCACCGACACAGTGCTGATCTCTGTTTAGTAAGTGGCAAATATGATTATTTCTTGCTCATTGCTTTTAAATTACAAAAGCAGCGCACACTCATTGCAAAACATGTAGCAATGCCAAATAAATAAAAGAATGAAAGTTCACCACCCACAGGAGAATCCGTTGTTAACTGTTTGGTGGTTGTACTCCTGCACAAGGTCACACTGAAGCACATACACAGAGTGCTATTTATTTATTTATTTTTCAGTACTGGGAATCAAACTCAGGACCTTGAGCTTGCAAGGCAGGCATGGCGCCACTGAGCTAAATCCTGGGCCCCAGAGTGCTATTTTAATTGGAGAAAGGGAAGCAGAAATGAGATTATACCAGACATACTGCTCTACCACTTGTTTTTCTTAGGCTCCACTGATGTAATGAAGATAATACTCTGCTCTAATAAAGAGTACATGACATTGTTTATTATGTTGTTTAACATTTATGAACATATATACACGTAATTTGTACATGTTAGTGCATAGTGTTGTTGGAAGAAACTTGTGATTGAGGCATGTGGGGCAGTAAACACAGCCCTGAGCTCAGAGGCGGACAGTGTGGAACTAACTGGTCAATGTGCCAGTCAGCCTTCCTGAGCCTCAACTTTCTCATCTATAAAATGGGCTTTTGTCTCAGATTCCAAGAACTCTTCTTCCATCATTATCTGTTTAAAAAACACTCTATAAGTTGAAAAATAGAAAAGAAGTCCCTGCCTCATGGGATTTATTTATTTATTTATTTATTTTGGTACCAGGGATCGAACTCGGGTCCTTGTGCTTTTGAGGCAGGTAGCAGAACCACTGAGCTAAAGCCCCGGCCCTGCCTCATGGGATTTATTACAGTTGTGCAGACTTCCCTGGAATAGTGAGTTTGAAATGAAGGGAAATGGAGCCCCAAACCATGGGACTTTGAAGTTGGAGATGAGCTGCTCACTCAGGACTCAGCAGTTCAGGCAGGAAAAAACACAAGGAGGGAAATTATAGGCAGAAATTATACCCTGCTCTTTCCACAATCCACAACTTGGGGACATAAGTCCATAATATTCTTTCTGCATGCAGTTTCCCCATGTTCTGAGGACTGCCTCATCCACCCAGGGACCATGTCTGATGAAACCCTGTTTGCTGAAATCTGATGCCATTTTCCTTGGTTGTAGGCATCCTGGGAGACAGCATCTCTCGGGAGCTAAGTGCCTGCACCGTCTCCCTTCTTCTCTTTTCCCAAGGAGAGGATATGGACCTGTGCAGCCTACTTCCAGGACGCTCCCTGGAGGATCACTGCGTCACAAGGTCACCTTCCAAAGCAAGCGGGTGCTCAGTGGGTGGGCATTTTGACCAGAGGGCCTTTGGCCCTGTGCTTCTCTGTACCAAGACACCTTTGGGGATTCTCATCTCTTTAGTGTGCTGTCCTTCCTTGAGTCCAAATGGTGGTAAGATTTAAGTTTTGGCTTAAGTAGGGAGAGGTGTCCTTTGGTCTTCCTCCATTCATTGTGTTCCGTCCCAGTTAGGTAAGCTGAGGTTCTGTTTGTACAGGTCTAGCTAATAAGAATGGATATTTGTTTCTTTTTCTTTTTCTTTCCTGGACCTCATGGGGAACATTCATTGTCAAGGCAGATTTAGACATTTAGAGATTTACAGATTTTAATTCCCATCAATAATTTTGACTTTAATCTCTATATCTCAGAGATATTACAGGAAAGGAGATTGCTTTTGTTGCCCTAGAAACAAAGCTACAGCCTGGAAAATTAACAGTCATTTACTGTTACTGGAGAGATTTTGATCTCTAATTTTCTCCTTTCCATTCAACCCTATTTGGATTGTATATTGCTAGAGGAACTGAATTACCAGGCAGGAATGT